TTCTTTAAGCACCGGTTCGAGCACCGTTTAAGCACCGGCACCATTTCAAAAGTACCGGTTTGGTACTGGTATCGGATAAAACCTAAACGATACCCATCCCAAGAACAGAGCGCTTGTACGCTGTTCAAAAATACCAGGTGCAATGTTAAATGTGAGTTAAGACGTAACAATAACAATATTAGCACACAGTCTCCCTAGCTTCAACAGCTAGTTTAACACACTCGTCGATACACTAACTGTGTGACTTTCTGTAAGACACCTGCTACGAGTAGTTCAGCTAAAAACTGGGTGAGCTGCATGACATGCATTTGTGCCTCTCAGCTGACAGTCCCGTGACACAGTAAACACAGGCTGCCTGTCCTTCCTCCTTATTAGGAGGTCATGTTTGAATGTAAAAGTTTGCTCTGTACATTTGTGAATGTTTGGCTCTAGAACTATCTGAGTGATGAGGAATGTAACACCCTAGAGCGGGTGCATGTCGGTATGTATACACCTGCAAGGGTCACAAGGATTACGGCTTCTGGGCGTGGTGATCTGAGGCAAGCCAAAGGATTACTGGTCTTAATCGGGTCAATCAGCCCTGTCTGCACAGGGTTCAGCGAAAGTATGACTGTCCCACATCCAAACCCACCTTCCTTGCTGCATGTCCCACCAATAACTGCATTTCATTGACGTGAAAATGGTTCATTGTTATTTCTGCTGTGATGAGAGCCTCCTCTTATGTGTAACTGACACTGGAGCTGAGCTCGTTCTTCCCTGCAGGGTAAGGTCAACATCCACTTACCTCATAGTGAGAGCACACTTGGGTGAATTGTATCTGAAAGGTGAAGGTTTAATTGATGTGGTGACCTTCTGTTTGTGCTTTCAATTGGTCATTTTGTTTACTCTTAGCTTAAGTGATAATATCGTCTAACATCCCGTTCTTGAAAATGTGGCTAGTGTAGACTAGTGATAAAGCATTAGAAACACTATTTTGAACACCAGACAGCGACTAGACTAGACTAGACTGCAGGTTTGCAATCAGTTGACAAAACGCTTCATCATAACATCTCTGTGTGCTTTGTAAGCTCTATTGATCATCTCTGGCTATACATCGTGAGTGGCTCCTCCCTGGCTCAAGGGGCACATAACACATGAGTTACATAACAAGATGGAAACTGAAGTGAAGAACACATCAGGCCCCAGATTAAGGCGGAGTTTGGGTGTACTGGAGTTATTCAACATTTGGAGTACCAACACAAAATTAGCGGGCCATCGCGTCACTGTTTTATAATTACATTAGCTCTGGTATGTCTGAGAGCGTCTCCTGAATGAGGCCTTTGCTTTGTTTCTGTCTCCCTGCAGAGGCCTTGGACACATTTCCTGCACACTGGATAATCAATTTGCTGCTCCTTTGCTCTCATCCTGTCCTTGACAACCCTCTCTGCATGGTGAAAAGGGGAAAGAGCGAGAAAGAGACCGAGTTCTTGCCCCCTTCCGCCATCTTTCTCTGTACTGTTGACACATGCACACAGGCGGGCACATATGCCCTTGAGCCAGTCACAACAATAAGGGGAGTGTCATGGCATAACGCACACATCTGCCAAACGCATACAAGCTGACCACGCAACATCCCATTTCCGTCAGGCAGCCTTCAGCCCAATTTAAATGCAAGCAAAGACCAGTGAAAACATTAGAAGTACACCCATAATGCGCGCACACACTGACTGGCTAGTGCTACATCACAGCTTATCCTACACAGGCAAAAACATAACATACTGACCAGAGATTTTTTTTTAAGGGAATTTCCAGTAGCATGGATTTTAGAAGTTTCTCTAGATGCTGTTGTTTCACCACGTCAGACACCAACTGTTTCGTAGCCACCTTCCACGCCTTCTGGAAAGGCTACGTTGTTGGGTTTTTGATACCCAAAGCTGTTTGGGTGTCAAACAACTTGGGTAAACTTGGGATGAGTCATGTTTAGATTTTTGTTTTTCAATGATGCAAAATTAGACATTTACACAGATGGATGCTGAACATATCACTTAGAAAGAAAACACTAGGATGACAAATAAAAACTCCTTGGTGAATGTAACACTCATGTGACTAATTCTATTTATTTATCCTGTTACTGTTAAAAACATACCATAAAAATCTTGATTATTAAAATACTGTTCAAATGGCAATGCTGTGTCTATTTCATTTTGTTAGAGTAAAAATGCACAATGGCTTTTAGAAAGTCTGGGGGAATACAACGACCACAACAACAAAAAAAGTCTCAGTATGATCCTGTGCGTGTCTGAGCAATCAGGTAAGATTCGGACTGTCGGCATCCAAATAAGACATCGCATTCTCAGCATACCATCTGCAATGAAGTCCTGACGAAGGGAGAGTATGGCTGCCTGCCAGCCTCCCTTTCTGCTCTGCAATCTGCCCATGTGAAAGGAGGCAGAGTAGGCAGTACCGCAGCCTACTCCTCTCCCTCGCTCGCTCGCTCACACACACTCACTAACCCCCCTACAAAACGCTGCATATTCCACTGCAGCTCTGCTACAAACCACAAGTCACCCTCCAGCTCCTTCGGGTGACATTGGCATAATGAAAACCCAAGGATATAGAGTAAAACTACTAGGGATTTGACACAAAGCTTCTCTTTGGTAGAGTGTGAGAGATAAAGGACAAGTGAGCCATAACTGGTAGGGACACTTGATCTTATGGAAGATTCATATAAGCTTAGTCTAATGAGGGTGATATAAGACTGACAGACAAAACTCGAGAGCCTGCTGGTAGAGCATGTTTCTGTTTCCACATGCTGTCTCGTTACTGCGGGTTAATAAATGCTTCCACGCTAATGTCGTGGAGCTTGTGCTCAGCTGGAATGAAGCACACACGACAGAGTCATGAGTAAGGAGGCAGCTAGTGCTTCACAGTAACGGATGACTCACAAGTAAGCAGGTTGAATCACATGACTGCAAACCACGTTCAGGTTTTCTCTTCTTGCTCTGCTATTGCTTATCATATAACACTGTCGACAAGCATGCTTTACAGTAAATAAGAGCACTATCACATAATAAATCTTAGATGGTCTTAACATCCTTCCCTATGCCTCAATCACAGATTAGTGCAACATGAGAAAAGTTATAAATATGTATATTTTTACTTAACCTGTCAGACTTTGAATAGAATAGAATAGAATAGAATAGAATAATCCTTTAATTGTCCCACAAGTGGAAATTTGGTTGTAACAGCAGCCAGAACGACACATATACACATTGGATCTCTATCTCAATTACTGTGGTTCAAATAGGGATGCAAATCTTGTAAATAATTAACTGCCAATCGTGTTTTATATGCATCCAACAACCTGTTCACAAATTGTTTGTGTACACTCAAGAGATAACGCAACCATAAACTATAAAGCAGCACACACATCCATTAAAGAAAAACAGTGGCCGTGTGATAAACCCTAGCTGAACTGGGGGTGCTGGCAGGCCACGCTGTGGGACGACCCCTGGGTCTCCCAGCGTGAACCAACTAAGCGTTTCTCACACAGAATCTCCTCTGGCATGCACACCCCTCCAGAGGAGGAGGAATTTCACTCTGTAAGCCTTTTATTCTCTTTCAGGCTGCTCGTCCCCAACCGTCCACTATTCAGTTTGCTCATTCTACTGTTCTCTGCTAAGACGCCTGAAGGAAGAACATGCAGGAGCATGCATGGTACACCGAAGTGTTCCTGCAGACTGGACCTGCAAAAAATCAAGATGCTTTTTTTCCCCTCCAGTTTGTGTTGGTGGTCTTGCATGCATGCCAGTAGGCCACTTACTTGTAGTGTTGCCTTGCATCTGAATGATACATTTTGACTCCTTGCTGATCTCCCTCGAGTTGAAGGGTCGAACTCGAACAGCGACTTTCACAGAAGCCCCAGACATGTTTGCAGTTTAAGTCCGTCTCCCTGTAAGATCCCTTGTGTATATCCCTCCTAAAGGAAACAGAAAAACAAATGTGCATCTCCTCAGTTAAAACAATAAGTGATGCAGGGAAGCCAGACAATGTTTGCTTCCTTCTTTAAAAATAAAACAAAAGTGCTATAGTGAAAAGGAGCAGAGCCTGTTTTCACTAAATGTAAATCAAACACAATGAAAGTCCACCCCCTCCCAATTTTCAGTCATAACAGCCTACAACAAATATGGCCGACCAAACCCGATGAAGCCTTTAATATTTTGTAAACAGCAACCGATCATACATTTAGCAAATCAAACAGAGGATGTAAGCCTTTATATTTATATCATAAACCCACAGTTTACGTGAAATGCGCTTTAGCCTAAAACAAAATACGAAGATTACAAATCACGATTGTTGCATGCATAAAATAACGTGGCGTTAAAATACCACACAACTTTCCATCGTTTTTACAGTCCGCACCCGGTGACTACACAGCCTAAATATCCTATGTTTTTCCATGTACTTGCAGTCAGCCATACTTGCCGAAGCATACGCCCATGAAATCCTATCTCCCCTATTTGGCGTGAGCTACAGCGGGACAGCTAACCGAGGGCCTGTCTGTTGCATCTGACACTGTTCGTTTTGTGCAGACGAAGAGCTTAAATTTCCCCCTTTTAAATAAATCACATTCGCTGATATTAGGAAGTAGGCTAATCCTCCGCCGCTGCATGTTGGGGAATAGTGCAAGGGAGGAGTTGCATGCTTATTTTAGCAGCCCAGACTGGATACATTGTTCACATTTACCCTATCCGGCAGGGTTAAAGGCGTTTTGACGTCAAATCCAACCAGAGGCGAAGCTTTCAACAGTAGCAATTATATTTTCTATTTTAAGCTAGCTTTAATCCGTTAAATGTTATTGGCTCCGACTTCAATATTTACGACCTACAGTCTAACGGAAACAGCTATCCAACTATAATCAACTAAACCTATAAACAAATTATTCTATATACTGTAACAATTAAGTACATATATATGTTTAATTCTTTTGTGTTATCGCAACCATGGCCACGTAGAGGTCCACTGACCACCGGACATGTATTAGTTGACACAGACAACTGCTCCCTATCCATCGTTGAAACTAACCTGTAATAACAACCCAGTGCACAACAGTCCCCCAAAATATAAATATATTATTTTTAAAAATATATACTTACGCTTGGAGACTCTTGCAAAAGACAAAACCAAAACCACCGGACAGTGGCGAGAACTAACGCTAGCTAGCAGGCGTCAAAATGTGTTGTTTCTATCAGAATCTGTGCGCAAGGAAACTGTTATAAAGTCCATTTCCGTGAAAAAGACCCATTATAGCGGTATCCTCCGGTGGAAGGATTTGTATTTGGAAACGGCCACTTCGTTGACTACTTTAGTCTCCCTTACAGATGAACGGCGGACGCCTATCTGCACACTAGCGAGAAGAAGAATTGGTAGATTGTCTCGATTTACCGAAGAGATTACGTCAACTCCCTCTCAGCGCGCTCACGGACAGGCTGGCGGGCCAATGAGCAAACAGAGAGCGGCGACTAATGCGGCGAAGAGCCTATGGCGTGACTCGGGGTCGCGAAGGGGGAGGGAATAGGTGGGGTGTCGCTCCCTTTTTTTCGCCCGTGACGCCACACTGCAGGATTTCTCATTACTGCTACCCGCAGCACCGTGGGTTACCGCAAAGATCGCCGCCTAGCGACGTAACTTTTCCGTGCATCACGAATTTATAAACCAAATTATTTATATTTTTGCTAATATAATTATTATAATTATAATATTGCCTTAAAGCAGGCACAAGAGATGTCACTGACCATAAAACAAAATAAAATGAGCAAATACATTTCCTGCAGTTCAATTAAATTTTACTCATTTAGCACCAAATGACTATGGCAGTTGCCTCAAGGCGCTTTTTTATTGTAAAGACCATACAATAATACAGAATGAACCTCAACAATCAGACAACCCCCTTCGAGCAAGCACATGGAGACAAGGGGAAGGAAAAACTTCCTTTTAACAGGAGGGAACCTCTGGCAGAACCATTAAGAGGCAGGTTTGATTGAAAACAATTTACTTTCCTGTGATATTTTTGCACTTGCGGTTTCTTTTTGGAATGAACTTGGAGTTAAAAGTTTAACAGGTGTCCTTGCCAGTAAATACTGGACTGTTGCCAAGTTTAATTGAGAACAATGACTAACCTATTCACATTCCAAAAAAAGATTGCAACTTTT